GATTCTTATATGCATTCAGGGTTGAGAACTACTGGTAGAGGCTGAGAAGAGAAGGAAACATTGTTTAAAGAAAAGATGAGGCAAAGGGTAAGTTGCAAAGGAGACTGAGAAGGAGTAGGCAGAAAGGAAAGACGATAAATCACAGAAAATGTTCTCATAAAAGCCAAAGAAGGGGAGCGGTTCTGAGGGAAAATAAGAGTAGGTGGAGATCCACACTTCACTAGAATGAACCAGGAGGAAGTAGTTGGTTTGCTCAGGAGGTTTCAGGGGTGTTAAAGCCAAAAACTTATCTATGGTGAGTTGAGGAATGAATGGAAAGTAAAGAAATAGAGACAATGTCTCAAGGTTATGTAGGAATGTCCTTCCTTATTGGCCTTCCTTTAAAAAAAAAAAAAAAAAAAAGACAAGAAGTTATTTAAAGAAGCTGAAAATCCCCTAGTATATTCTTCCCAACTCAGCGGCCTCTACCATTGTTGAGCATTTATTGCATGATGGTCAGACCTTCATTATATCATATTTGATTATGTACTGTTATTCAGTATTTAATTGTTTCATAGCTGTCATTCTTCCTTATCTGATTACTCTTATTTAAAAGTGCATGGTCTAGACCTTGAACTTCTCCTGCATAATATTCTCTCATACTTTGAGAATGGGGAAGGTACATTCTTAGGAAGAGAACATGACATTAATAAAAAAGGATTCAACAAACTATGATTATATATTGTGTTCACTTACAAATATGTAACAACAAATCCCATCAGTATGTACAACTATAACATACCTGTAAAAATGTGGGGGAAACGGGATTTAAACAGGGTTTAAGGTGAGGTGGTAAGTTTGCTTGTTTATTTCATTTTAACTCTAAAAAATAATACTACATACTTATTTTTTAAAACATATCCGTGCAAAAGTGTGAAGAAAAAAATGAAAAGCTACCTCTTCCCAGCCCAGAGGCAGCCACTCTTAACAGTTTATTGTAGAGACTGCGGACATTCTTTCTGAGGATTTGGGGTGTATCTTTTTCCATAGGTAATACCCTTGAAGTCACCATTCTCTGCGAGTCAGATGAGATGAGATGTTTTCATAAGTTAGTTATCACTCCTTTTCTCTGAAAATCCCAGTAATTTCACAATTGGAATGGATTGCCCCAGATATACACAACCATAAATTGACTGTTCACTTCTCTCTGGGAGCAAATGATTGATGCTCAGAAAGTACAAAAATATTATTATTGTGGTGTGCAGAGAGGGAGTGAGCTGGGAGTTAGGTAAGCCACCTTCTAGGTGCTGAATGGGAAGTTGCCTTTGCACTGCCAAAGCTCTGCCTCTTTCTCACCAACCCTACAACCTCTATGTAAAGGTCTTTAGTGTCCTTTCCTTGCCGCAAGATCAGGTATTAGGGAATGTTTTCTGTCTCCTGTGCCGCTCCTGCAGTCGCCAGAGCAGCCTGAACTCACAACCTCACAACTGCTATCACATTGTGGCCCTCGGTCTTGTCACTGTGTTACTGGGGTCGACCAAAGGAGGAAAGTGGGAGCCACTGGACAACCTCTTTTCTTTTCACTCCTGTTATACTGGGTCCCAGCAATGGGCAGTTGTCCCTAGAATAAACCCTAATTCAGTTTCAGTGAATAAATGAAACTGAGCCAGGCCCTTCCCTTGAATAGGCTTTAATTTCTTCTTATATTAAATGAAGTTAACAACAGTGACTCACCTCATAAAAACAGAAGTCATCTCTTTCCATGGTTAGCCTGTCTTTATGAGGCCAGGTTTCTTAAGAACACAGATCTGTTCTTAAGATCTTATGCAGATCTGCATTTAATAAATGAAATGAAAATTATTGTCATCTCTAGTTTGTACCTAACATATTGAACTTCTACTCCCTCAGGCCTTGATATTCAGTCACTCTGTTTATGCATTTATCAAGTATCTAAACAAAGAAGTGGACAGGTTATTTTCATGAACCCTACCTCCCTGCATCTTCACAGCAATGGACTATACTCGGAAGACTTCACCATTCCTGTTCTCCTTGTTCATTTCCCCAGATGGAGAGAACTTCATCCCACTCAGCTTCTTCACCGCCTTTACTCATTGTAAGGTTCAGTAGAGTTGAACACTAGATGCTTTCTGGGTTCTTTCAGCCAGTGTTATGGATACCCACTGGGTGCCTAGCACTGTCCAAGGTGCTAGGATTATGGCAGTGGTTATGGTCCTTCCTTTTAGGATGCTTGAAGTCCAAGAAATGAATAAGCAATTACAAATAAATTCAATTATCCTTCAATAACATAAAGGTCACAAATAAAGCTATGGAAAAGAGTGGCAGGAGGGAACCTATAAAATAGTGTCATTTAAATTGAAACCTGAAGGATGAAGAAGACTCAGACCTGCAGAGCAAAGGGGAAGGTTTTGAGAGAGCAGAGGGGTCAAGGCCCTGCCTTTGGGAAGAGTGGAGTGGATCTGAGGGAAAGGAAGGAGCCAGTGTGGCAGCAAAGTGTGTAGAGAGAGAGGGACAATGATGGAGTTGGAAGGATGAGTAGGGCCAGGAAACACAAGGTCTAGGGGCTATAGTAATGAGGGGATTTTGTTTATTTTGTACTGGGGATTGAACCCAGGAACACTTTACCACTGAGCTGAGTCCCCAGCCCTATTTATTTATTTATTATCTTATTTATTTATTTATTTATGACAGAGTCTTCCTAAGTTGCTTCCAGGCCTTGCCAAGTTGCTAAGAACTTGTGATCGTCCTGCCTCAGCCTCCTGAGGAGCTGGGATTACAGGCATGTACCACCATGCCTGACAGTGGGTTTGTTTTCATAGATATTAGGGGTGTTAAGCAGTGGAGGCTCATGATCTGGTATGATTTTTGAAAAATCATTGTGACAGAGAGTGGAAAATGCAGGTGCTTGGTCACCTTTTCAAAAAGTGTACACTGATAAGCCTTGCCCGACCTTCATGATTTACAGCTGCAGGAAAAGATGGCATATACTTCTGCACCAACAAGGTATTCTGGGGGAATTAGAGGTGTAGTCTATAAGTACTCCCCAAATTTCATGGGGAGTGTATTCTTTCCAGGACCTGTACTGCAGGAGACAGGGCAGCAGGGGCTGAGTTGGGTTGTGGATCAGAAGAGGGTACTGAAAAGCAAAAGAAAACAAAGCAACCAATGAGGACACATAGATAATCTTTTTGATTTACCTTGATGTGGAACTTGAACCCTTGTTCTGAAATGGACATTTCTAAATTTAGCTTTCCTTTCCTAATAAGCCTTATGGTTCATTGAATATAAATCTCTAGACCTCACTTACTTCCACGTGGTACCCAAGCCTTGGGAAGGTAAGTGTGATTGGGCAGAACAAAATGTTTCTTATGTTGATGTTAGACTCCAAGAGGGGCATGATTAAAAGGGGTCTGGCTGAGAACATTCCAGTCAGTGTGTTCTCAGTGCAACACTTGTGCACTGAGCTGGTCTTAGGATGCAAATCTAGAAAATCTGCTCAGAATACTACATGAACTCTTTGGAGAGAAACACCTCCCCCACCCCCAGCTTCTGCCATCTTTCCACAGTGCTTTTGCCATATCCAAGCAGAGGGAAGCTGGAAGGCTTCCAAAGGAAAGCTAAACAGGAAACATATCATTTCCAAGGAGCTGACAGATCACTTTCAATCAGACTGCTTGGCTCTTATAACATTTCCAAATCACTTCTCAGAGAAACACTCTCCCTAGTCAACCAAGGCTCTGCTAAGAGGATTTCCTCCCACGGCCTCACCTGGCAAAGCTACATAGAAGACTAAGCCTGTATTTCTAGGCTTCTTTTCTCCACAGGATCCAGGATTCAATTTTCAAACTGCCAACTTGTTATTTCCTGGCTATCCCACCAGTGTCTTACAGTCAACGGGTCCCAAATGAATTCATCATCGTCCCCTTCCTGGCTTTCCTGTTTCTGTTGATGGTATTACTGTTCCCTCTGCTCTCCTGACTGAAAAAGTCTGAGTCATTCTTGACTCATCCTTCTCTCTTATTCTCTATGTCAAATCAACTACCGAACCCTGTAACATCTATTTCCGTGATGTCACTTGAATGGGTCTCCTCCTCCCTATTGCGACCATCCTTCCTCCATGTGGGTTGTCAGTACCTCCATTTTCCCACAGGAACATCCTAACTTATTCCCTCACTATTAACCCACCCACCTCCACACTGCTATAGGCTTCAGCCTCCTCAAACCCAGATTGCATCAGGCTGTTACCAGCAGCAAGACATGGTTCCCCACTGCTGCCACATTAAATACACACTGTCTTTTAGCTTCATATGTCACAATTCCTTTTCCAATGTTCCACATTCAAGTTAAACTTACTAATCATTGGTATGGGACATGACTTTTTTTTTCCTTGAGCTGCTTTATTATTTCAGTGGTCTTGCAAAAGATGATAAAATTGTCTTATGTTACTAATTTCTGTGTTATATATATATTTATGCTAGTTAGAGCTTCTTTGAAGATTGGACATTCCTATATTATTTGTCTCACATTTTTTTGCTTCCTGTAATGTTCAAGAAATTATGCATAGTAGGCATCTAGGAGCTTTACATGTGTGAAATATTTCAGCTTTTACAACAATTGTATTTCCATTTTACCGACGACAAAACTGTGATGCAGAAAAGTTAAGTAATTGGTTGTGATTCCCTAATGAAGAAGTGGCAGAGACAGGATGAAAATTCACCCCATCTGGCCCCAGAGCCCACACTCTTGACCACTAAACTCACATTTATCTCTTTTACCTGCATTCCTGGTATCAACTGTTTGCATTTTGCTAATGTTTTGAACTGAACCGAAGTGTAAGGCATGTGTCCATTAATGATCAGATAGATCAATGGCAGATGGAGTGTGCATATGTAACTTGACATCAGGAGCTGATTTAAGGTGCTTCCCAGGAAGTCAGTATTTAGCTAAGACACAGCTTTGTGGTATTTTTGTCCTACTTCTTCTTATTTTTTTTCTTATTCTAGTACATGGGCTGTATTGAAGTGCTGCAGTCAATGAGGTCACTGGATTTTGGAATGAGAACCCAAGTTACAAGGTAAGAGACTAAAAATTATGGGGAGGTTTAACATCTATAGTTTAACATCACAACAATTTCTCCTGCAGGAATTTCATGCAAGCTTTCAAAGTCATTATGGGTTTTTATCCATATGGCTAGAAGGTAGAACATACCCCAGTGACCTTGCATCTCAAGTGGCTTTATCTCATCATGTGAAAATTACCCAACTGTGTGGCAGAGCATCTGTGTTCCATATGAGGACTAGTAAGATGATTCAGTCTACAGAAATAGCTGGTTTCCCAGGTACCAAAGTACTTAAAATTGTGTCTGGAAATAGGACATTACAGAACCTCAGACCTGTCAAAGAGGTAGCTAAAAATAAGAGTAGGGAAGAACTTTTAATATAAAAAAATCCCAAGCTGTCTCCATTTATGCCATCCCTGACATGAAAGTCAGTCTGAGCTAGATGAAAGAGTTGAACCTGGGGGGGAGCCATCCAAGTGGCCCCAGATAGCTTATGGGAAGAAATCAATCTTTGTTATGTAGAGCTCAAGTAAAAGACTGAAATACAAGGCATGGTTCATTATAGCCAAGTTCAAAGCAAGGAAGTAAAGGAGAATATGTGGGGGTGAAACTTGTAACTGGGAACACTGTGAGATGAGAGAGATGAGGTGAGAGGACTAGGATTGACAGTGGTTTAGAATGGAGACTTGTGCATCTGTGGTAGATGGTGCTGTGTCTCAGGGGTGTGCCCAACTGGATCTGTGGGTGCTACCTGTTCTGAAGGTGAAGGTTCTTGTTGCAAAGAGAGGAACTTGTTCTAATGATCATTCCATGGAATTCTAGGCCTAGAAAAGGATCCTGTGATCAAAAATTTTGAGAAAGAACCTTATTGCTTTTTAGGAGAATCACAATGTACAATGATATATTAAGAACTCTGAGAGGTCCTGTGCAAAATTAACTTTATGCCGGGCATGGTGGCTCATATCTGTAAGCCCAGCAGCTTGGGAAGCTGAGGCAGGAGGATCTTGAGTTCAAAGCCAGCCTCATCAAAAGCAAGGCACTAAGCAACTCAGTGAGATCCTGTCTCTAAATAAAATACAAATTAGGGCTGGGTATGTGGTTCAGTGGTCGAGTGCCTCTGAGTTCAATCCCCAGTACCCCACTTCCCAAAAAAGAACATTACCTCAAATATTTCTAAACTTATTTGGCTCAAGAATCTTTTTTTTCCACATAATATAAATAAAAAGGGACTGGGGTTATGGCTTAGTGGTAGAGCACTCACTCGCCTAGAACATGTGAGGCACTGGGTTCAATTATAAAAATAAATAAAATAAAGGTATTGTGTCCATCTACAACTAAAAAATTTAAGAAAAAAATATAAATAAACAATCCTTGTATCCCTAGGGTTCCATGGGATGCACTTTAAGAAATGCTGATTTGATATTCTGCCTTATGAGCATTGAAATATGTCTTTGCAAACTTCTAACCAATCCTTGGCATTTGATCTAGAGTCAAAGAAATGAAGTAAAATCCTGGATTTTTGCTTGCTTGTTTGTACACTTGATACCTACCCCATCCCTAGAGCATGGAAGAGCTTTAGTGAAAATATTTATCAAATCAGTGCAAGTTCCTCTTGACTCTACTTGCAGTATTTGGAGATAGCTACCACTTTCTTCTCTATGTCTTCCCTTTTGCATTCTTAGCCCCTTCAATGATCCTTCAAGTGATGTGGGGTCTGGACTACTTTCCACACTGTTAACCCTATTTTGGAAATGTTTTAAGCTTTATATCATTTTGATGATCCTTAATCTGAGAAAAAACCTTCCTATGATTGATCTCCCAGGTGTCTGGGATAGGGGCACAGGACAAAGGAATGTCCATTTTCTGGACCTGAGTGCTATGGTCTAGGTGTACCTTTTCCAAAAATTCTTACATTGAAACTTAATTGCTAGTGTGATCATATTAAGATAGGAGGTCTTTACTAGGTGATTAAAGGCAGATCCCTGGTGATTGAGATTAGTGCTTTTATAAAAGAAGTAAAATGGAGCTATTTGCCCCTTCTGCCTTGTGGAGATGCAATAAGAGGCTCCCACCTATGAAGCAGAAGCCAGACACTGATTCTGCTGGTGCCTTGATCTTGAACTTCCCAGCTTTCAGACTGCAAGAAATTAATTCTTATTATTTACCAATTATCCACTCTAATGTAGTTTGTTATAGCATCAGGAATGAACTAAGGCACTGACAGTGTCTTTTCTCAGTTCATTCATCCATTCATTCATTGACTCATTCTCATTTATTAAAGTATTTATAGTATGTCCATTAAGTGCCTGAAACTGTTCACGAACTAAGGATCCAGCAGTGAGTAAGAAAATGTCTGCTCTCATGAAATTTACATTCTGGCTGGGAAAATGAACTATGGCAAGGAAATAGATATGAAATAAACTTTTAGGTAGTAATAAGTGTTATTACTAAAACAATAATTCAGAATAAGAGAATAGATGTGTAGAGACTGGCCTTTTAAACTTTCTTTTATATCTTAGTTATAAAAACACTGCATGTTTACTCAGAGCATTTGGAAATTAAAAAATATGAAAGAGGAAATTACTTATATTCTCACCTAGAGATAATGTCTATTAACATTTTATGTTTTGGAATTTCTTTCCAGTGTTTTTATTCTATGCATGAGCTCACAATGATTTTTTTGCAGAAAATATGAACCATATTATATATTTCTTCCATATTAATCATTTTCCTATTGCTCCAATTGTTTTCTTTACCTTTCTTTCTCTCTTTCTTTCTTTCTTTTTTTGTAACGGAGATTGAACTCTGGGGCACTTATTTTACTGAGCCATATCCCCAGCCCTTTTCATTTTTTATTTTGAGACAGGGTCTCACTAAGTTACTTAGGGCCTTGCTAAATTACTAAGGCTGGTCTCCAACTTGCAATCCTCCTGCCTTGGCGTCCCAAGTTGCCAGGATTATAGGCATATGCTACCATGTCCAGTCTTTAGCTCCCATTTTTATTCTATATATATATATATATATATATATATATATATATATATATATATACATACACACACACATATATACACACACACACACTTATACAGCGGAATGTAATATATAACAAAATTTACCATTTCTAAGTGTGCATTTCTGTGGCATTAAGTATGTTTATACTGTTGTACAACTAACACCATCATCCATCTCCAGAATTTCTTCATCCTCCCAAAATTAAATTCCATACTCATTAAACACTAACTTCCTATTCTCTGCCTTCTCACTTACCACAATCTCTGGCAACCACCACTTCTACTTTTTGTCTCTATGATTTTGACTAATCCTAAATACCCTATATAATTGGAATCATATAGTATTTGTTCTTTTATGTCTGGCTTACTTCATTTAGCACAATGCCTTTGAGGCTGAGTGCTGTTGTAGTATGTTTCAGAATATCATTCCTTATTAAGGCTGAATACTATTCTATTGCATGTATATACTGAAGTTAGTTTATCCATCCACCAATCAAAAGATATTTAGGCTGTTTCTTTAAAGAATTTTTAATGGCTGTATAACATCCTTTTAATTGTTGTAATACTGCTATGAACATCTTATCAACATCTCTTGAGTATTTCTATAGGACAAATTCTAGAATTAGAATCATTGATCAAACAACTTAAATATTTTAAAGGCTTCCGATGTGTATTGCTAGGTTGTTTTGCAGAACAACTCTACTAATTGAAACCTTTTCTCCTTCATCATGTATCTATGTATCTTCTAGAGTCTGGGGATGTAGCTCAATGATAGAGTACTTGGCCAGTATGCATAAATTATTTAGCCCTTGGACTCAGTCTCTAGCACTGCAAAATATAACATACAGATAAAACTTTATAAACTATGTGTCTATACTTTCTTATTTAGAAAATATTAAAAAACTGACTTATTCCCTCTGCTATGAAGATTCAGCTTCTCACTAATGTACATACCCAAAGGAGAAGGTCTGGCTTTGCCTTTGGATATTATTCTTTATAGATATATCTATATGTGATACAGACATAAGAGATTATGTTTTGGGCAGATTTATAGAAGCTTGAGGGTGGTGGTCTTTTTCAGATTTGGTAGTGAGGAGGCCTCTCTGAAGAGAAGAAATTTGAGCTAAAACCTTAGTAAAGTGAGGGATTTAGCCACAGGAGTATTTGGGATAAGAGAGCTCAAGACAGAAGAAAATGGCTATGGACATTGTCTGTCCCCAGCATCAACATTTTGGCATGTAGTTTGGTAGAAGTATGAAGGAGTATGCACCTTCTCCCAAGAATGGATTAAAAAAAAAAAAACATTCAATGAATCTCAGCCCAGGAGAGGGAGAGATTGATTGGAGGGGAGGTCTGAGTTTTAAGATACTCTTTGGTAGCCTGGGGATTTCATCTGCTATGGGGCTTGAAATTTTTTAAATTAATTTTTAAAAATTTATATATGACAGTGGAATGTATTACAATTCATATTACACATATAGAGCACAATTTTTCACTTCTCTGGTTGTATACAAAGTATATTCACATCAATTCATGTCTTCATACATGTACTTTGGATAATGATGACCATCACATTCCACCATCATTTCTAACCCCATACCCCTTCCCTTTCCTTCCCTCCCTTCTGCCCTATCTAGAGTTCATCTATTCCTCCCATGCTCCCTGCTCCCACCCCACTATGAATCAGCCTCCTCATATCAGAGAAAATATTCAGCATTTGGTTTTTTGGGACTGGCTAACTTCACTTAGCATTATCTCCTCCAACTCCATCCATTTACCTGCGAATGCCAAGATTTTATTTTCTTTTATTGCTGAGTAATATTCCATTGTGTATAAAAGCCACATTTTTTTTATTCATTCATCTACTGAAGGGCATCTAGGTTGGTTCCACAATTTAGCTATTGTGAATTGTGCTGCTATAAACATTGATGTGGCTGTGTCCCTGTAATATGCTGTTTTTAAGTCCTTTGGGTATAGACCGAGGAGAGGGATAGCTGGGTC